TTAATGTAAAATAATAATAATGATAACCAACGATGAAACAACATGAACGTTCTAAGGGAAAAAAAAGGCAAAGTTGTCGACGATATATAAAAAGGTATTACGTTAAGATAGGGTAAATAAATAAACCTAGATTATTTGATGATATTGTTTTGTTTGCTTTTTAATGGGTTGCTCGTAGGAAGCATAAGTTCCAGGGTAAATGGAATGATTGGCTTCATAACCCTATGTTAAACTCTCTATGTAATCGTTTGGTTTTTATTCTAGCTTTTCGTTAGAGCTTTCTTTTTATAATATTACAGCCATTAAAAAAAGTAATTAGGTTTCCTAGTCAAATAATAAATAACGAATAATAAACTTATTTAAGGACGTTATTGGCACGGAGCTTTTAGAAACGTTTGAGAGCTTCTAGCTTTTAACTTTTGATAAAACGCTCTAATTTAAACAAAAAGTTTCGTTTGACAGTACGAGCGTTTAACTTTTAGTTTTAACAAAACGCTCCGATTCTAAAAGCTACTTCATGTAGCGTTTAACAAAACGCTCCAGAGCTTTTGAAATCAATTTCCATAATTACCCGTAAAAATATATTTATATATTTATTTATTTTTAATCAATTGTCCTTTTATGTAATTTTATATATTTCAAAAGCTTCCAGCTACTTTTGCCAAACATTCATATAAAAACTTTCAGTTACTTTTGCCAAACATTCATATAACAAATAAAAGCTACAGCTTCCCGCTACCAGCTATTTGCTACATGCTACCAGCTAACCGCTACCAGCTAACCGCTATCAGCTAACCGCTACCCACTTCCAGCTACTAGCTACTTTTGCCAAACACGCCATAAAACTCCTTATTCAAGCCAATAAGTGTTTATAAATCATTGGTATCCAAGCACTAAAATCTACTTAATATCGATGTCAACCCCGTATAAACAAATCATGAGTTTAAATAAGCAATCCCAACCACCCCCTTAAAGGGAGGAAATCTCAATTTTGTATCACTAGCGTGGATTGAACGAACCACAAGTTGAAACAATCTAAAAGAAGAAAAAATGGAAGGGTGGTGGTGTTTCAGAACGAGGTTTGGGGAATATACATAGATATATGTTCCAAGGGAGGAAAAAGTGTGGAGGGTAATATGATGGTTTTAATGTAATGTACATTGCCCATGGTGAGGCTGTTAACACTTATAGTGATTAGTAGACGAAAATGTGAAAATTTCATATTTCTCACGTGGCACTTATATCAAAGCTGTTCTTTGACCATCTTTTATTAAGGTGGAAGGACATACTTAATCTTTAGGACATTAGATGACTCGAATCCTTTTAAAAAAAGGTGGGGGAAGGGATATTGTGTGAGTGTGTTTTCATCTACCTCTTATGTGCATAAAGACAACGTATCGGAGATTTGGTCTTGATCATTAAATGGTAAGGAAATTATATTGTGTATGGCTTCCTAAAATTTGTATTTAGAAATGTACCTTCTTTATAGAGGAGCCTACACAATAGTGGTTTTCTTACCATATCTTATGTTCCGGTCTCTGGTTTTGTTTATATATCTCAGACGTGGCGCATCAAGTTTTATATCTGAGTAACTCACTAGCCTCATTGTGAAGAAATCATTGTGCGTAACTTTGAATTAAATACGCCAACACTATTTAATCATATTCTAAATATATTGATCACCTTTATTAGGATTGTTTGTCTCCTTATTTTTCCAATATGTTTCCATTCATCACTATTCTAAGAGTTTACTGTATTTTATAAAAATAACCAATTTTTTTAAATAATCACTTACTCAACAATGTATACATTCCGGCTCGTATTATTAAACGTGACAAATCTGGCTCGGTGTTGTGGACCCCCAATCCAAGACATTCATTTCGTACTATGTTTTAGACTTCTCCGTTTTAGGCTATTCCAACTTCGAAAAATGTCTTAGTACCGATGAAGAACTCCAACAGTTATGGATATGTGTCAATTATTTGTATGATTATATGTGATTATATGTTCAAAATAAAGTTGAAGTGTTTTTATATGATTATTTAAATCCGATTTGTTTTTTATATAATTATTTGGAACCAATTTGTTTTGCTTCGATTTGGAACCAATAAAGTGTCAAAAAAATTTAAGAAATTTATTTGAACAAAAAAGTCAAACAAATATAAGCGAAAAAATAAAAAATTAAACATTATATTGAAAAAAACATAAAAAAATTAATTCACAAAAAATATAAATAGATAAAGTATAAAGATAATAAATAATAGATAGAATTACATAAATGGTTCCTGTGGCTTGAACAAATTACATAAACGGTTCCTATGGCAGGAAGGCTAAATATGTTTTATATATTTCATTCTTCCAATTTATATAACCATACTCTTTCTACTAATTTGGTTTTAACAAATATATAATCTATATTCTTTTATTACAATACTATTAAATAAATAAGCTTATATTTATAACACTTAAGTATAAGCTTTTATAAAATACGTTATCGTGTTTTAAAATTTCAATATATATTTAAAATTTTATATGAATTTGATAAACAAAAAATAAACTTTATATTTATAAACAAAAATAAACTTTATATTTATAATTAATTATTATAATATAATATATAAGACAATATTATAAGTATTAAATATAGATTTAAAATAATAGTATAACACCAAATATGATATTATACTATTCATTTCCCCCAAATAAAGGAATAAATGAGGTATAGTTGGAGAGGAATGGGGTAAGAATTATGATAAAAAATGAAAAATAAGAGTAAGTTGGAGATGCTTCGTTATTTCCTAAACAATGTCTTATTCCTAACAAGCCAAAAAACCACCACGTGACAAAGAAAACTCCTTCCACCTTCTCGTTACTTTCAATATTATCGGTGTCACCTATCATTTTTATAGAAGTTTGCTTCATTCCAATCTTCACCATCCCCATCTTCTTTTTCCTCTTTTTTTCAGTTATAGGAATCCAAGCCCGCCATTCTCTAATACAAAATTTCAAAATTCATATCTCCAATAATCACCATGCTCTTTCATAAATCAAGGACATATTTCCGTTTTGATGCAAACTCTTCCCATAGATACATTATCTTTTTGATATTCATCAATAAACATGATAATTAATCTCTAAATCTAGGAATCCTTCTTTCTTATACACCTTGTAAAGGTTAGCAATCAAGTTTGCATCACAAGCATTAACAAAAACCACACATGAAGCGTCCAAAACATTCAAGAGATCCCTTTCCACCAATTTACTTGTCTTCCCTAACCCTTTAGCTACTCCACCACCTTGTGTCACCTTTCCTTTCAAAACTGATGCAAATGGCGCATAAGTTTCATACTAACATTTCTTGATCAATCACCTTTAACAATCATACACATCCAAATCTTGTATACCAATCTCTAATAATTAGATAGACATTTGAAACCACTCCATATTGTTCACATATTTTCTAAAAATCTTGATTCTGAAAGTTGTCTGGAAAATTAGCCACATAGTCAACACCGGTAGGCAAAGTCAAACGGCTGCTGTTTAGGGTTTTAATTATACTTTTTGTTTTAACCGTTTCTGTGTTTTTTAATATTTAGTATATAAAAAAATTAAAAACATGGCGATTAAATTATGTTTGTTGGGCTGGTGGAAACATGCGACTTAAAAATTTAACATGCGGTTTTTCTTTTCTTTATAATTATCTAATACACCCAACCCATTTAACCCCATGAAAAACTTTATTTCAAGTTTCATTTACGCTGCAAAGAACTTGAACGACCATGAATTCAAAAATAAAGATGGTTGACTTTGTGTTTGTATTTGGAGAAGAAGGTGAGGATGAAAGCCAGAGAATCAAATTTGTATAAGGAGATAACGTCGTTAACAACATAGGAAAAATATAAATTTTGAAAAACTTATTGTTTTGAAAACACATAGTTGCATTAAGCAAACATGCGGATGTATAATCGTAAACGCAATAGATTTTATTATCATAATGGAACAGTTAACATCATTGACACATCAGTATTTAGTATGGACATTTCTAAAATGGTGGCATAATCATAACTAAAACGTAAGTGTTGTTCCATCAATGTACATTAGAAATTCATTAACTTTATAATAAGAATAAAAATTAATGCTACCCATAAGGTACATAGTTGGTTTTAAGATTTTAGTATTCAAAATAACTAAGAAACAAACGTGAGATGAAATTTCAAAACGTATGAAATATAACGTTGTAAACTTCGAAAACAAAAGTTTTAACGTAACAAATTGATCAACAACTTTTGTTATCAATCCAGAATTTATGGACCAAAAAAAGTAAACTTAACGAGTACCATACAACGATAATTACAAATAAATTCAAATTAAAAAGTTATAAATCAAAAAGAGATATTCTTTTTTAACAATGAAGGAAGCAATATAGTATTCGAAAAAGCCAAACCTGGCGGCGATCATCCTTCTCGTGGCCAACCATAATATATCTTTCGGTTGGCAAAGATTATCTTTCCATTTGACTTAATTAATCTATTAGCATCCATATAATTTCTGTTTATGTGCTTCTGATAAATTTAATTTTTTTTATTACATAATATAATCCTAAAAGTAATTATCAAACAAAACTAATAATTTACAACCAATCAAGTCCCAAAGTCGGTATTTAATCGGGTCATTTAGATAAGTTGAAGTTAGACAATAATCATGTGATACTTTACAAATTTTATTTTTAAAAAACTGAGAAAAAATTAACACAAAAAGCTTTTACCCACGGTTAGATGTCGAGTAAAAAGTCAATCAACCTAATTAAAAATGGTAAATGATAAATAAATATGTTACACTTGAATTTCTTTAAGTCGTATTAGTTATATAATTTGTGAACGCAAATCCATATTATTTGATAATGATTATATTTATTTAACTAAAAATTAGATAAATTTTTTGATGTTTTCTAATTATATTAGTAAAAGTTTATAAGAAAACATTCAAATATTGAAAGTAATACGAGGGTTACTGAAATTTCGTCCCGCCATCCTCCAACGACCTGGACTAGTCTACCAGAAGCAGCCGTGGAAGAAAAGTCAATTCGCCACCGCGTTTTTCAGTTCTAATCCTTACATAATTCTCCCATAATCCTCTCCCAAATCCACAAATTCTTTCTTTCTCCAATCGATCAGATTAAGGAACGATTTTGATTTCTGATTTTGTGTTTTATTTTTTTGAATTTTGAAAACGCCGGCGACAAAGATGAACGATCTTCTATCCCGCTCCTTTTCCGCCGGTCGCAACGGTGATATTGAGATGGGGAACGCCGCCGATGGCGACGGTACGAACCTCGACAAGTTCTTTGAAGATGTGGAGGCGATAAAGGAGGAGCTCAAAGGTCTTGAGTTACTTCACGATCAACTTCAATCGTCGAACGAGGAGAGCAAAACCCTACACAACGCTAAATCCATCAAAACCCTACGAACGAAGATGGACAACGACGTCGCTTTGTCTCTGAAGAAAGCGAAGCTTATTAAGAATCGTCTAGAAGTCCTAGACCGTTCCAATGCATCCAACCGGAATCTCCCCGGCTGTGGTCCGGGGACCTCCACCGACCGGACACGAACCTCCGTCGTCAACGGCCTTCGTAAGCAGCTCCAGACGTCGATGAAGTCCTTCAACGAGCTCCGTCAGAAAATGACCGCCGAACACCGGGAAACCGTTCAGAGAAGGTACTACACCGTCACCGGCGAAAACGCGGATGAAGCTACAGTCGATAACCTAATCTCAACAGGACAAAGCGAGACTTTTCTACAGAAGGCGATTCAGGAGCAAGGAAGAGGACAGGTGATGGATACAGTGCTTGAAATTCAGGAACGACACGACGCCGTTACAGTGATCGAGAGAAACCTTAAGGAGCTTCACCAAGTTTTCATGGATATGGCTGTGCTTGTGGAACATCAAGGAGCGCAACTCGATAACATCGAGGATCATGTCAACAGAGCCAACTCGTACGTGACTCGTGGAACTGTTCAATTGAATGAAGCCAGGAAGAAACAAAAGAACACACGAAAGTGGACTTGTTATGCGATCCTTCTGTTACTGATTATCATCGCCATCATCGTCTTGTCCATTAGACCATGGAAGTAGAAACCTGTACTCTGCGCTCCAATACTTGTACCTTTGGTATGTTTATTAGTTTTTGTTTTCCAATTATTTGTTCATATTCGTGAGTGAGATACTGAGATTGATGTTTTCTGGTTTGATCGGTGTTCATAGTATGTAATTTAATGGCAGATGAGACGATATTCATTCTTCTATTTTCTTCGTTAATTTCTGTATCAATATTTGATTAATTTCTCTACAATAATACAATTAAAATCACCTGAATTCAATCTTCTCTGCGAGACCTGTTCTTGAGTTTGCAGAAGAGTCCGTTCTTCGTATGGATGGTTGCTCCGGTGACAAGCTCCACAGATTCCGGCGATCCTTTCAACTCCACATCAAATTTCCATAATAGCATCGCTAAAGCTATCGTAGACTCCATTAACGCAAACTGATCTCCTACGCATCTTCTAGGTCCTCCACCAAATGGTAAGAAAGCAAAATCTGATACAATCTGTTATCACATCACCACCCATGAATCTGTTAGATCACGCTTTCCACAATTCATCAAGTAAGAACAGTAAAAAGTAAAAAGTAAAAACCTCATTTGGGTAAAGAGCTCCAGGGCTTCTAGATGGATCAAAACCAGCCCACCCTTCAATATTATTGTTATCTTTTTGAACTAGAAATCTTTCTGGTTCAAATTCATTCGGATTCTCCCAGAAGTATGGAGATCTATGGAGATTATATATCTCAAAATAACAAAATCTTAACGTAAGAACAATTGAATTCCCATATAAAAGACTATGAAAAATGTTGATTTTTTACTTACTGAAATAAAAATATCTGTTCCAGCAGGAATTTGGTAACCCTGTTTATCACCCTTATAACCTCCTGGTAATATATCTGATTTTAAAGAACGTCTGATGAGCAATGGAGGCTGAGGGTATAAACGTAAACTCTCAGAAATGATGAGTCTAACATATCTGTCAAGTGCAAAAAAATAGTAATCATCATAAATTATAACAATATACTTATAAAAAAAGTAACATTCATTTGGAAAACCCGAAAACCTACTCTAGTTTTTTAAGGGACTCCAAAGTTATTCCATCCTCAGAGATGACTGTATCGATTTCAGCTTGTGCTTTCTTCATTTTGTCTGGATGCTAAATAATAAGACACATAAAATTAAGTGATAATTACAAAAATGTCCAAAATGGTAGAGTATTTTGGTCTGATTTGTACTTGAGCAAGAAGGAAGACAGCCCAAGTAAGAACAGCAGCTGTTGTTTCATGCCCAGCAATAAGCATTGTCATCAAGTCATCTCGTAACTGTTACATAAATTTTCTAAAAAAATATTATTCAAATTGAAATTTATTATTTTAATTTTAAAAAGTGAGATAACACTTAACACATGAGTCATGACAGACTTACTTGACGATCATCAACATCAACTCCTCTCATGTCAACCAAGAAACGCAAAAGACTCGCATCTTTAAGATTTTTGTAGTCCCTTTGTTGCAATTTCTCAACATCTGTTTCCTATCAACAAAAAGTTTACAAGTTTAAAAAAAAAAATTGTGGGTTTTATACTTTTATTAATGAGAGTCACCTGTCTTGTATCTTTTGCATTTCTTATAAGACCATCGAGACAATCATTAATAATCTTGAGATCATTTGCAAACTTTCTTTGTCTTGGAACAAGCCATCTAGCTAAAGGAAATTTCCAGTAAGGAATGTAGAATGTAGAACGATGTTCAGCTTCAAAAAGTGTACCATATACTGCCTGAGATAAAAAAAAAAAAAAAAAAGATTTTAATAATTAAAAAAAAATTGTTAATGTATTGAATGATGAGTAGACCTTAATGACAGGAGATTCTTTTGTGACAGAACCAAAGTCATAATTGAAAACACCAAGACCGATTATGTCAAGTGCCAAATTTGAGAATTCTGCTTCGAGATCTAACTCGATCTCATGTTCTCCTTGTGAGTTTTTTGCTTCTAGAAGGTTCTCGAGTTTAGATATTGTTCTTTCTGAACAATTGGCAAACATTTGCACCATGGCTTCCAGATATAAGGTGTGGAATCCAGGAGCTATAACTGTGAAAAGTTACAAATCAAGAACACCTGTATTAATTATCAACTCTCATTTTCAAACAATACAAAAAAGGGCCTAATAAATATCCAGTTTACCTCTTCTCCTTTGCTTCCAAGTCTCCAAGTCAGCAGGAATTAATCCTTTCCCCATGATTGGTTCCAGAATATCAGCAAGAACTCCCTACACGATGCATATCAAGTGTCATACAGAGAGGGAAGAATAGAAAAAGAATATCAAGAACTTAAGAATTGTACCTTATCATATGAAAATGCATTTTCACGAAGAATATATCGGGCAACAATTGGATCTGATACAACTACAAATGCTTTTGGACCAAAAGCAAGTTTATAAACTGAGCCATGCTGTAAAACAAACAAACCATCATTGAGGTATCATAGATGCTAATAGCCTATGAATCAATCTTATAAAGAGAAGAAAAATGAAAAATACCTCTATGAACCAGTCAAACAAAGAGAAGAAAAGAGGTTTCCCAAACAAATCAGACACAGCACCTTCAGCTACAGGCATGGAACCAATGCTTCCACCACTCAAGAAATTAGTCAATAAATTGCTTGCGTTATCCAAAACATTCCTACTCTTATTCGTCTTCTCATCTGTACTTGTTGATTGACATCTGCATTCATCATACGACACAACCACAACTAATCTCTTATAATCAGATTCAAAAAAATTGTAATCAATTTAAGTAATTCATGCCACCACACAGAGTAAATCGAATGTCCAAATCACCTCTTTAACAAAAAAAACTTAACACAGATGAAGCAGCAGAATGGATTTCTATTTTCTCCTAGAATTTCAAATTGAGTTACCTGATTCGACATGTTCTCGGATTCGCACTGAAGCGATAGGGTTTAGGAGAAGTTGAAGATGGAATATCATTTGCGCAGAACTGAGGGAGCAACGAGCAACTAGTGGTGACAATTGACATGGCTACTGAAATTCAATCGGAAAGGGGTTTCAGTTAGGAAGATCGACGCAATTGGAGATTGCGATATTATGATATCAGTGGCAAATTTGGGGAGCCACCCACATGGTATTGCTGCTAATTATAGTAGAATGTTGAAGTTAAAAAACTGAACTTGGAATGCATTGGGAAGATACTTTAACTGAAATGTTTGTTTACTGTGCGCCCAAAATCGGATTTTGGTAAGGTGGGGATATTTGCATTCCACCCCCTATAACTTTTGGTTTTTTCATATATGTCCTTCATGACTAATGAGGTATATGCTTAGAGAGGCATACTACCTCCAGAACGAGAACAACAATACTTGTCGAACCTAAACCATGGTTTATGTTGAGTCACCGAGGTTACCACAAGTATGGTCTTTTCGAACCATTCAGATGATCAGATCTCTTACACTAGTAACAAATGACATCAAGTCATATAAACATTGGCATTATCATTAAATAGATTGTAATGTACTAGCGAATCATAAAAGTTCATGAATCCATATTGATAAGACTAATGATACAACCTAAGTACAACATTTTCTACCTTCGGTAGCAAGAACATTAATGGCGGCTAGACTATCGTCTCGACATGTCCAAGCCGTTACTTCTCATGGAAAATAGGTATAAAAGCAAGTCATAACGAATAACAAATGTATGTACCATCGATCAAATTCACTGTTCCTTGAGGTTTATTCGATATTTATCTTCTAACTTAAGCTTCAGGACGTTCTCCTGGGAGTTCATCCCGATGAACGTGTAACGATTTATAGTGCAATTCAGGTATGAGAGCTAGTCACATAATCCATACGTGAAGAAGTTAACAAGATATCTTAGACTCGAAAACCTGAGGCAGATGGCGCCATCCGTGGACACTACATGTGACAATCAAGAATTAGGTCAAAGATCATCAGTCAAACCACTACAAACACCTCATGTAATAGACCTGATGCAATGTAGTTTAATGCAAATAAAGTTTTTATACTTGGAAATGCATGCGGAATACCACTCAAGTCTTCTATGAATATAGAACTTTGTCAAACAAACACTATTCACTATACATAAGTAATGAATTAATGCATTGAAAATAAGATTTATGTATTAAATATTATTATGTACAAACAACGCTCTAGACTGATAGAGCATGAGAACACAATTTCATAGATATAAAGAACGTCGAAAACGGAGTTCATATACAAAAGTTACGACCTTTTAAAGAACACAAACTGTCAGATATCGGTCTGCGGCTTGGAAACGTCACTTCAAACGCTATGTAGTGTACTTTAAAACATGAATTTTTGATCTCGAACAATTTTCCCATTATCACTAGTCAATTTAGTATTTGATTTTGGAACTAACTCATTTTGCCCGAAAAAAGTTCGACATGAAACAACACAATACTGGCTTTTTCGCAAACGAATCTTCAAACGATTTGTTGGAATAGCTACACATCTTGTTAAGTGATTTTGAAAATATTTCATGAATCAAACAACACTCTAGTATTGGATTCTATTTTATAAATAACCGTAACTTGAAGTCATAACACTTTTATGAAAAACAGTTGATTCGTTGAAACTGAAATCCCCCGACAAATGACTTCAAACACAAATTTAACATAGTTATGCTATTCGTTAGAAGAATATATTTACATATTCTGAAATATAATTTTCGGGACATTGAAGTAGTGTTTGAATAAATGTGAGATATCAGATTGCATGTAGATCTAGGCGAGGATGTGTCGCTGTCACACCCCCAAACCGAAACGGCGGAAACATTTGGGGGTAGATGACGTCATGTGTAGTATCATAACATTTGCATTATAGTAATCAAAGTAAACACAAACATTACATTGAATAAGTAGAATATTTACATATGTTTGATACCTAGATTTTATACATCAAAAGTGTAACAAAATATAAAAGACGTGACTCTAAACGCTCTGTCTTCTCAAAAGCTGTAGGGATACCTGTCTACTGATTTCCTAAGAATACAAGCGGTTTTGAAAAGAGTAGATCTGCATTTAAGGCGGTGATTTCATAAGCATGTTTTGTAATGAAAACCTGTCATTGAGTCTGTGAAAATGTTTATATGTTCTCAATAAAATCCAATATTTTCTTAGTATTAAAAAGTAGTCTTAAACTCTAAGACCAGAGTGTATGTTTGTTACTGAATTCTGTAATTGTATATGAAAATCCCTGAATACCATTAGTAATGTAAAGTAATGTATTGTATAAAAATCTTGGCTAACACCAATAATGTATAGTATATTCTTTTATGAAAACCCTGGCTAACACGAGTAATTTATAGTATGTCCTTGTATGAAAACCCTTGGTTACCACTAGTATGTATACTAGTTTCATACTTCAAATAAAACTGTGTATTATTCATACTTATATCATATAAGCATTGTCCATGTAAAGTATAATACTACGTAAATATATCGTTGCTATCTACTTGCGAGTTTTATGACCATGCTAACTGATACAACGTGAATCGGATGCCAATATCCTTAATGACTTTGTCACTTGTAGACCTGCTGGTCCTACTGTAGCTAGCAGCAAGGTGCGGGGTAGTCAGTCCCGTATAGATCTATACACAAACTCACGCTGTAGACTCTGGATCATAAGGGTAGTCTTCCACTAGCACATGTAATTGTACCCAAAGACGTGTCTCTCAAACTAGATAAACGACTTTACAAGCAATATTTTGAAAGAACCTTTTTAAAAATAACTGATAAGTTTATAAAAAGATACGTTTGTTCCCTAAACTATATTCTTGTAATAGTTTATATGTCTGTGTGACATCCCCAAAATCACGGCCAGAAAAGACCAGTTTAATTTATGCTTTTAAAATGATTTCAGAGTAATCTTTTGATTAAAAGAGTTGCGACATTTGTTCCTAAAACGAAATATGATAAAAATAAGATTTACCAAAGCATTTCTTAAAGAAATGTATTTTTCATTATATTACAATACTTGGGATGTCATGTTCCGATAAACAGACCAAAAGCATAAACATTTCAATACAGACCTTACAATAATTATTTACAACAACAGGTCTATAATCCAAAATATCCTGACAAATCATCCAACTTATGCTCTGGCGCCACTACCTGTAATACAAAGAAACTGAGTGGGTCAGGATTGGGAGTTTGGTGAGCATATAGGGTTTTCAACCCACAATAAATAATTATATTTAATTTCACCAACCAACAATAACCCAATTACGCATTTCCGTTATTCTCACTTTACGTCCCTAAAACAACTAACACAAGGGACCTAGTCTTAGAATATTTCATCGGGGCGACAACACATGCACTCGGGGGTTTCCCAGCAATATATGTCAAATAAGGCAACCATGAGGGGGATAGAGTATAGCGAATGAACACCCAAGTTCATTAACACCTACAAGTGGCGAACTTGCTAGCGTTCCACAGGACTGTCTAGAAAAGTCAGTGGTCGTCATCTAAACTCCGCTAGATGACTGAATCAAAAACAACATCGAGACCTCGCATCTGTTTATCACACAACTATCTACCCATGTTCTACCCAACATATTAGTATATATATATATATATATATATATATACATAGTTTAAAACCTGTATAGCATTCTTATTCATTACATATTCCAAACAACAGATGAGACACATATACATAACACGTATTTCATAGAGAATAAATCATATCTATGAGATAGAAGAAAGTGAATATACATTCACACATATAACAACAAAATATACACATAACATGTATTTCGTATAAAATACTTCTTAATTATGAGTTAGAAGAAAGTGACTACACACTCACTTGATCAGAAGATGATCGGACAACACTACGGCTTGTAGAAGTAGTATTCTTCGGTAGATCTAGAAGATCTTCACAAAAACCGGGCTCCTCGCGGGCAGAGATTTGGCTCGAGAATCTCACTTCTCGGGATCTTCGGGGCTTCGGGACTTGCTTCGGGTCTCGGGAATGATATCGGGGCTTCGAGATAATTCTTACACGAAAAACGAGGTAAAAACGCGGGAGAAGGAAAGAAAATAGCAATTGAAACTCGGCAGCCTTGACTTCCTTTTATAGGGGTTGAACCACCGAATTACGCTGGGCATAATTAAGGTTACGTTGGGCGTAACTTGGATAAGCTCGCTGACTCCCCCCCCCCCCCAATTTGGATAATATCGGGTATTTTATAATTAAATTAAATACCAAAATTATTTAATAAACTTCAAAAATTCATATCTTCCTCATACGAACTCCGTTTTCGATGTTGTTTATATCCCCGCGTAGGTGAGACTACGCTCTAAAACTTTCGTTTAGACTCCGTCGGCTAATTTTGATTATTTTTGTTATTTATTTTTAGTAGGTCGGGACAGGAAAACTCCATTATAAATTCATAACTTCTTCATCCGACGTCCGTTTTCGCCTACCTTTTTATCGTTTCACTACTATTAACGAGATCTTCGATTCTCATTTAGATTGTTTTGGCTAAAAACCGCCCGGTCTCAAATCGAGTATTCGGGCTGCATACTACAAAGTCGAAACTTAGAAAAATCATAACTTCGTCATACGATGTCAGAGTTGGGCGTTCTTTTTATGCACGCTCTCGGTTTAACGAACTCTACGACTTTCGTTTAGATCACTAACGCTAAATATTGCTCTAACGTAAATTTCACTTTTTACGTCATTCAACGTTGTCGGTTCTGTCGAGAAACTTCGACGGGTCATAACTTCTTCGTTATAACTCGGATTTCGGCATTCTTTATATCTTCGGAATCCTTGTTTCAACCACTACATCTTTATGCAAAGATATAGGGCTTATCTCACATCTTAAATTTGACGCTTATTTTATTCTTAATTCATTAAATCATAATAATTAAGAAAATAAACACATAATTCACATAATACTCAAATATTTCATCATTAATACTTCAAAAAAGAGTTTCAAGGGTTAACCTAGACTATTACATCAAGGATAATGCCTAGCCTTGAAACGCGGACGTTACCGTCTGTATATGGAAAACCGTGTATTTAACTTCCAAACTATACCTATTATAGTTTGTATGTATGTTATGAGTTGATCTGAAAACTGTGTAATGAATTCCCTAAACTATACCCATTATAGTTTGCCTAAAATGTTTTGTACTTATTTCTTGAATTATTCTGAAAACTATGCAATTATAATTTCAAGTTGAAAGTTTCCCTTGTGCTCAACATGTTACAAAAGGGAAGAAAAGATGGTGTTTTGGTGTTTACGGTTAAGAGGTTAGAGAGAGAGAGAGTAGGAGAGTTTTCGGCCAGAAAAGTGTAAATGAGGGGTAGATGCTCATATTTATAGGTTACAAAATGTTTTGTAATATCATATAAGTATGGATAATACACAGTTTTATTTTAAGTAATGAAACTACTATACATACTAGTGGTAACCAGGGGTTTTGATACAAGGACATACTATACATTACTCGTGTTAGTCAGGGTTTTCATAAAAGAATATACTATACATTACTAGTTTTAGCCAGGATTTTTATACAATACATTACTTTACATTACTAATGGTATTCAGGGATTTTCATATACAATTACATAATTCAGTAACAAACATACACTCTGGTCTTAGAGTTTAAGACTACTTTTCAATACTAAGAAAATATTGGATTTTATTGAGAACATATAAACATTTTCACAGACTCAATGATAGGTTTTCATTACAAAACATGCTTATGAACTTAACGCCTTAAATGCAGATCTACTCTTTTTAAAACCGCTTGTATTCTCAGGAAATCAGTAAACAGGTATCCCTGCAGCTTTTGAGAAGACAGAGCGTTTAGAGTCACGTCTTTTATATTTTGTTACACTTTTGATGTATA